AGTATACACCACATTTTCCGAAGAAGATCGTGACCGCGATTTCTTTGCATTCATTCCTTATCATATCATATCATTCCGACAATAGCAGAGTGAGGAGGTGCGACGCGAACACTGGCGCGGTAACCATAGCACGGTGATAGAGGAAATGCTTCGCCAACCCGAGCGTCTGTTCACCATGGAGGTGCGGCTCAAACAGCGTCTGACTGGCATCCAGCGGCTGAATAAGAAATGCTCTTCCCCGGAAGCTACACCTAAGATGGCAGCCCCATCACGGTGGATAGGAGACCTTAGGCCAACCACCTACTGTCTCTGAAACCTTTACAGTTACAGAAACCAACAGAGAAAGACATCGAACTGATTTAACGGCAACGACTTTTAGCGCAAAACAACGGACACGAATTGGATCATGGAATGTATTGACGTTAGCCCAGCAGGGTAAACTGGCACAACTCGCCAACAAGGCGTCATGCGTCTGAAATCATGGGACTGAGTGAAGTTCGTTGACCAAACTTTGGTGAACACAAACTACCGTCGGGACAGGTACTATTATACTCTGGTATAGTACGTGAAAACGCTCCCCGCCATCGTGGAGTTGGTCTCCTACTTAGCGTCCAGGCAAGTGCTGCGCTCATCAAGTGGGAGCCTGTTAATGAGAGGATAATCGTTGCCAGTGTGACCGGAAGTGTTATCGGCCAATGGTGAAAAATTATTTTAGTCGAGATTTTAACATGATCAGCCATTTTGAGACCTAGACATAGGCATAACAAAAGGGCAATAGAAAGAGGTTTCAATAGGCGTGGAACGAGCTTTCAGTCAAAGAGAAGATTTGCATGTGTGCTCTTGTGAGTGAACAAAAGAGTCCGGAAAGTTTGGATGAGCGGTAAAACGGCGAGGCGTTGTTTGTTTTGGTTGGGTTTGAATTCGGACATAGAAAGCTATGTGAAAAGATGTCAAGCTTGCATAAAAACAGCGGTAATTCCTAAACCAGTCGGTAATAGGGTAGAGAACTACTTCGGCCTAATCGCCCATTTTGGGCCTATCGAGCAGAAAACTTCAAATAAATCCATGATTTCAGAGTTAACAAGTCAATTATACATTTGGTACGATACTTTAGTTAATAAGCTACGGAACGAAATCAATGATATCGCGTGATATGAAGGTTTGCATCAATTATTCCCAAAAACAAAAGAAGCGCTCCGACCGAATCAATTTTTATCTTCATCCGATAGGCCGAAGTGAATTCATTGGCGTTTGAATGCGTTAGGCCAAGTTTAGAATCCGTAGGCCGAGTTTGGCGTCAAGAAGCAGTTTTAGACTTTTGACAATATCTCAACGATTGGTTTCTCTTTATCAAATATGACTGTACATACGGAATGGTAAATAAATTTGGAAGCCATCAGTAATAATAAAATTCCGTTTGATGCTAAGTTGCGCTAGATTAAGAAAGATAAAGTGTGGGTTGTTCTTAATAGGCCGGAAATGGGGTATTTAACCCTACTGCTTGGATTCCGACTATACGACCTTTCAGCCGTATACATGCGAATTTCTTTTATTTTGAATCCAAAACTTACCTTTTAATTGTCGATAGCCATACTGAATGGTTGGAGGTGGAACTCAGGAAGTACGGAACGGATGCTAGCAGGGTAATAAAAAAATTCACTCCAGTTTTTGCGAGGTTTGGGCTTCCAGATGTTCTGGTAACGGATGGTGGGCCACCATTCAGTTCGGCACAATTTATTGAATTTATGAAAAGACAGGGTATAAACGTGATGAAAAGTCCACCATATAACCCCAGCAGTAATGGACAGGCGGAAAGAATGGTGCGTACAGTAAAAGAAAAGTTCAAAAAGTTTTTACTGGATTGTGACATGAAGTCTCTTGATGTAGAAGAAAGGATACTGTATTTCTTTGCTAATTACAGAAATACATGTATTGCTACTGAGGATACATTTCCATCGGAGAAATTGTATAATTTTAAACCAAAGGTTTTATTGGACCTTTTGCATCAAAAAAAAAACGATACAAGGACTTCCTAGAGAATTCTCCTAAAAAAAAAAGGATAATAGAAGATAACACTACACCCACTCAAGATCCATTTCAAAATCTTTCTCCTGGTGATAAGATATTTTACAAAAATAATGACACTCATTCAATAGAGAAATGGATCGAAGTACAATTTGTCAAAAGAGTTGATCTCTTTTGGTAGACATACGGCCAATGCACACCGGAACCAGCTCAAAGTGGTGAGCCCGAAGATGACGTATACAAGGATACAAGTACCAATACAAAGAAGAAAGAGGACAAGGAAAAGAAGTGATTCGGAGGAGGATTTCCGGATATCACGGAAAAGCCCAATCAAACCGAAGACGATGGTAGACATCTCAAGGTAATGAGATGTAGTCCTATTGTTACACGGAGTTTTTTTTTGGGTTCGAGAAACAAATGCGGAAGCGATGGTCCAAGTACAAGTGCAAGTAATGTTTAGAAGAAAGGTGTGAAAGGCAATGTCGGAAAGAATATCATATAGAATGAATTCGAAATGAAGATGAAGTGAATCATGAATAAGTATAGGTTAAGATAACTAATCAATAGATAAAGCAAGGATGATGTACATTTTTGACAATCGAAAATTTATTTTGTGAATTATTGCCTTGATTTCGGAAAAGTTATATTTGATGAGAAGAATTATCTATGTAGAATTGCATTTCTTAACTGAAGAGGGAAGAACTGATGTGTACGGTATAAAGGATCGGAATCCCTTATAAGAGGTACATTTGTATGGGTTGACGAGTGGTAGCGGAACAGTATAAATAGAATGCCTTTATAGAAACAAGCGAGAACAACTTGGGTGAGCTGCGCATCCAGAGGAAATAGTGGATCACAGATGAAACCTGGCGGAAGATTGAGGAGCGTAGAGAAGCAAAAGCCGCGATAGAGCGGGCGAGAACCAGAGGAGCCAAGAACGAAGCCCGTCAACGGAACTCGGCTCTAAAGAAGGAAGTGAAGCGCTTTTGCAGACGGGACAAGCGAGCATGGGTGTCTCAGTTCTGTCGAGGCTATTCGCTCCATGAGGCCGGTAAAGCACTCCTCGTATTTTCTCATGAAAATACGAGAGCTTTTAAGTGCTTTATCTTTAAGATCTTTTGTCATTTTGTCATCGATTCCGGGCCATGAGATAGCGGACTCACTTGCTAAGGTGGGCGCTATAGAAGGCGATATTTACGATCGACAAATCGCCTACGATGAATTTTTCTTCATTTACCGTCAACAGTCACTCGTCAGCTGGCAGAATAAGTGGAGTGAAGGGTTTTGGGACGATGGTTATATTCGATCATTCCTAAGGTGTAGAAGAGTCCTTGGTTCTAGGGGTTGGATGTGGGTCGAGACTTCATTCGTATGATGTCTCGCCTCATGTCCAATCACTATTCGTTAAACGCTCACTTGAGTCACTTGTTCCGTGTTAGGTTTTTAATATATAAAAGCGAACATAATTAATTCGTTAAATATATGATAAAGAAGGGAATATTTTCTTTCTTTGATATAACAAAAGGAAATAATTAATTCTTTGGATATACGATAAAGAAGGGAATATTCCCTTCTTTTAATATATAAAAGAGAACATAATTAATTCGTTAAATATATGATAATGAAGGGAATATTTTCTTCCTTTAAAAATATAACAAAAGGAAATAATTAATTCTTTTGATATACGATAACGAAAGGAATATTCTCTTCTTTTAATATATAAAAAAAAACATAATTAATTCGTTAAATATACGATAAAGAAGGGAATATTCCTTTCTTTTAATATATAATCAATAGTTTTTCGCAAGGGATTCGGGGTAACGCCCATTCGGGATAATAACGTGTGGAATAATGTTATAAATTTGTAATCGGTAGTTCAACGTTCCATGCACCGATTTGTTAATCCATCACGAGAAATTCTTCAACTCAGGTCGAACAATTCTTCGATAAGGTTTAACAGTTTCCGACTGGTTGAATTGGATTGCATAATAGACCCTTTGACTTTTTAAATAATGAACGAAATGCTCGAAAACTTGAAGGTTGTCATTTTATAATGAGCTAAAAAATGGTTTGGAATTGATAAATACATAGTTCCATAAAAGTAAACAGTGTATTATCAATACTAAAAAAAAAAAAAAGTGAAAATTACTAATTTCATCATCTTTTCTGGGGAATGGTACATTTTGGGGAATGTTATAGAATCATTTTCAATACTGCTTTAAATATTTTGTTTGTTATTTCAATACCGATTGAAATATTTTAATTATTAATCAATATTTGAACGGTATTTTCATTAACACGCAGTCAAATCGATGAAAGCGCCCCCCTCGTTTCTTGCTGTTTTATAACATATTATCAGTTAAAGTAAACTTTTAAATTCATAATAATTAAAAGTACAACTTATATTTTAAGTGACCACTAATATTGATTTCTCCTGGTTCTACTATAGAATTCTCGGGTTTTCCAAGATAATTTTCAAATTCCAGGTTATTTCCCCGTTTTCTCGGTTTGCAATAATGCATAATTGTTTTGAGCACTTACCAAAATTTTATAATTATTAATAAAAAGCTGTTCATAAACTACGTAGACCAATTATGAGATGTTTAACCCCCCCCCCCCCTACCGCGTAGACTAATCGTCCATTTTTTTTAAGGTTCAATTTACTTTGATGCATTTTCGAAAAATTCAAAAGCAGTTTTTTTCGACGCATTATTTCAGATTGCTAAAAGCTCGCGTCATTTTGTGTAGAATAGCATAAGGAATCGAATAGTGCGAGCATTTTGCAATCTGAACTAATGCGTCGAAAAAAACTGCTCTTCAATTTTTCGAAAAAGCATCAAAGTAAATTGAACCTTAAATGTGTATGGACCATAGACACATCAACCCCCCTTAAGTGTACGTAGTTAATGAACAGGTCCTAATTGCTTTGACAAATAGAAAAGGTGCTAGCTTAACATGTTAAATTATTCACATACCTGTTGGCGGTGTTCGTCCAGTACGATACAGCGTAATTTGTTCTCACTTTCCGTGTCCTCCGTGAAAAAGCTGAGCATTTCTTCTTTTATTGTTTTGTCGCTGCTTAAACGGTACAGATTGTTCTTGTACGGTGTAGTTGCACTATTACTGTAGGTAAATATGCAGTCTAATGCTAGTTTCTGCACATCAAAACTACGGTGAGTCAAAAGCTCTTCGAAAAGCTCATACAATTTCCCTGACTTGAATATAGTCAATGGATTTTTAACTTTTGCAAATATATTCATGTAGGCAATCAGAATCTTCTGCGTGGCTTTTGGAGTGTATTCGTTTGCTTCTGGTTCGACGTTTTGCTTTATTCTATACTCCGATTGAATGAAGTTCAAAAATGCTTCCACAATATCATGATTCTTCGATTCGCATACTCTATTCAGTTTCGATAGGGTGACGAGCAGTTGAACACGATAATTAACGTAATCGATCTTCTCATCCTGCTCCCCATTGTCACTAAAAAAATCACATTCATTTTCTGTATTCTGAGCTGTATTATGACGATTAGCAGCCTCCAATGCAAAGTCCAATTGTTTCTTGTATATGCTCCAAAAATCGGACACCGCGAACCCCACAGCGTAGGATTGAAGTACTGTAGATACAGGATCCCAGAGTAACTTGAAATTGATCGACAACATCGACAAAACAAACTTCATTGCATCTAATCTAAATGTGTTGTCACCAATGTTCTGCAACAGATTGGAATCGAATTCCAGCTTGTTTAGTAGCATTATTATTTCGCGATAGGTGTGGACAGTTGGTTCAACGGTTTCGATGTTGTAAAACAAGTCAAACAATGTTTGATCCTCATATTTTGTCAGACTTTCTAAATGACCAAATAGGGTAAATATGTGAGTAACGAGTAGTCGCGTTTTATGATGAACTGATGCTAAGAATTCGTTGAGTTGAGAATGAACAGTTTCAAACAGTGTTTTGGTTAGAAGCTGAGGTTTATCCTGATGGATCTTAACCAAGCATAAACTGATGATGTTAATTAGACTTTCTTGTACAGTGCCTACGACAACTGGTAATAACTTCTCGATGATCTTGATAAAAATTTGCATATTGTCGTATTCGATGTGTACAAAAGCTTCTACCATAACACTCAAAACCTTATATTGCTCACTGGTTGGCTGACTGTTAAGCTCGGAGAGAATGGAAATGATTTCCCGCTCTAGTAGATGTTTTATTTCAGTATCGTTTTGAAATTCCACCAAATGAGGGAGTAAAATCAATGCTAATAAGAAATCCGTTCGATTTCTAACGGTTAGTCCACCTGAAAATAAATGGAAGGAAAGATAATCTATTTATAAACAACCAATCGTAGATTACTGATATGTTTAAAAAAAATATAAAAATTGTAACAACATATGCTATATTTCAGGGTGCCCTACGTTAGCCGGATACACGAAAGTCGAAAAATACATAATACAGATTTTGTTTTATACTTTATTTAGGAGATTTTTAACCGTATGCTAGTTCATCTCCAAATAAGATAGAATTTTTGAAAGGCAGCAATACACAAAATGCAGAATCACAAAAGGCATAAACTAATAATACAGAATCACATAAAACTAATTTAAATTAGACGAACTTTTTAAGAAAGTTCGCTCAATTTAAATTAGCCTTACCATTGTGGTGGGCTTCTTTTGACACTTTTATAATGTAAGAGAGCTTTGTCGTATGAAATCAATAAATAATAAATAAAAAATCTCAAAAAGATATTCTCACAAATGTATTTCACGCAACCAGGAATCTGAAAACCATTTGACGCTATAATAATACCTTGCACATGCTAGACACAAGAAGAGGCCAAAAGGCAAGCGTCCGACACACAAAACCCGTCAAATCAACCCACAATCAACGATTCTACGAATCGCGAGCGCTCACGAATCATAAAACCGTTGACTGCGACACTCTGAAAGCGAAATTGACGGCTCTATGCGTCAAACACCGGCCCTCCAATCTCCTCCCGCATCCAACAAACACAAATCCCCATTACAACATCTAACGAATTCAAAACTCCGAAAATCACTCATCTATAGCAAGTGAGTGGAAGAAACCCTGCATGCAACAATTCTTCATGATACACTTTTTCTGCCTATCTTTCTATTAAGCCTGTGGACATGCGTTAGCTTCGAAACTTCTTACCAAACTGGGAAATCTATCAGATCACAAAAACTTGAAAAATCTTTCAAAGGTATTATTGATTATTTTACACAAAAACCAGCAAGTAATATTAAATCTTTTGTATCGTATGCTAATGCCAATTGACTGTAACAAAACTAATATGCTAAAATAAAATAAAATTTTAATAAAATTATATGCAAAATTTACTAGAAGATCATTACTTTATTGGTGAGAAGTTTCTAATAAGCCCTCCCAGTTCCGCTGTATACAGAACAAATCCAGGGCTGTTACAAGATTTTCTAAATTTGATCCGCGAAATCCGCGATTTCTCAAAAGAAATCCGCGACTTCAAATACTAATCCGCGACAAAAAAAAACCTGTTTTCATTGCCTAAAAATAGAATTTGTACACTACTAAATGGCATTTCAAGCTTATTGCTTATATCATATTAGATTTGTGCCTTAGTGTTTTTTGAAGTACTTTCACATTTTAATTGAGAGCTTTTTATGCCTGTACCATCCTATGCCCAAGGAAGTAGAGAATTTTTCCAACCCGAAAAATTAATAGACCGGACGGGAATAGAACTCAGTCGCCTCCAGCATGGACTTAGTTTGTAGCTGCGCCTTTGCCGACTGAGATAAAGGAGTATCGTTTGTAACCTTCGAATTAAAAAAAAAATTAAAATGTATGTATAGTATAAATTCTGAGTAATTAGTGAACATAACAAAACACCCTTAAATTATGAGATTCTATTTAATAATACCGGCCTAGATTTGATGAAATATTATTTAAAAAAAATTAATGCATTTTCATTTGAAATGCAAGTTTTTTTTTTAAATTAACCAGAGACGTATTTTGCTGTCCTAAATGTTGTAGTAATTTGGCTCTAGTTTTCTCAATTTTTGACCGATTCAAACCAAACACCCTGCACATAATCGAGAAATTACCAGAGTTTCAACACAATTGTTGGTCCCGTCGAGGTTCTGTATTTACACGGATATTCCTTGGGGTCTGTCCAATGGTGAGACATTTTCATGATATTTCTTTTCTAATATGAACCTACCTCTTTTCTTTTTATAGGAAAGTTTGAACATACTGAGAGGTAAGCACATATCGTCGGTAAGAGACATGTGTGTGAGAAAATTTGCGAAAAAAATCTAAGGGCACCGGTGGGATTCGAACCCACAATTCCCATTCAGTACACGGGTGCATTGCCAATTATACAACGGTGGACCTATGGTCTACGGATGTATTTGGCTAATGACATTTGAGTTTCGAATCCGTTCCCCACCCTAGCCTTTTTGCGCAAGCGTTCTCTGATACACAACAATCGTCTATTATCGACGATATGTGCTTGTACCGCAACCACTCAGTATCAGTCGATGTGAACAAACACAGCTCATTTTTGTTATTCATCTTACATGCTGAAATATGTCCAGTACAGTATGACTCTAACATTTTGAGCTGCCGGCCTCACCTCCGACCACCGGGCCGTAGTTGATGAATATCAATTACTTTTACTTTTTGATTTTACGGTTTAGCGACTTTGCAGTCAATTTAATTGTTTTTATAGGAAAGTTTGAACATACTGAGAGGTAAGCACATATCGTCGGTAAGAGACATGTGTGTGAGAAAATTTGCGAAAAAAATCTAAGGGCACCGGTGGGATTCGAACCCACAATTCCCATTCAGTACACGGGTGCATTGCCAATTATACAACGGTGGACCTATGGTCTACGGATGTATTTGGCTAATGACATTTGAGTTTCGAATCCGTTCCCCACCCTAGCCTTTTTGCGCAAGCGTTCTCTGATACACAACAATCGTCTATTATCGACGATATGTGCTTGTACCGCAACCACTCAGTATCAGTCGATGTGAACAAACACAGCTCATTTTTGTTATTCATCTTACATGCTGAAATATGTCCAGTACAGTATGACTCTAACATTTTGAGCTGCCGGCCTCACCTCCGACCACCGGGCCGTAGTTGATGAATATCAATTACTTTTACTTTTTGATTTTACGGTTTAGCGACTTTGCAGTCAATTTAATTGTTTTTATAGGAAAGTTTGAACATACTGAGAGGTAAGCACATATCGTCGGTAAGAGACGTGTGTGTGAGAAAATTTGCGAAAAAAATCTAAGGGCACCGGTGGGATTCGAACCCACAATTCCCATTCAGTACACGGGTGCATTGCCAATTATACAACGGTGGACCTATGGTCTACGGATGTATTTGGCTAATGACATTTGAGTTTCGAATCCGTTCCCCACCCTAGCCCTTTTGCGCAAGCGTTCTCTGATACACAACAATCGTCTATTATCGACGATATGTGCTTGTACCGCAACCACTCAGTATCAGTCGATGTGAACAAACACAGCTCATTTTTGTTATTCATCTTACATGCTGAAATATGTCCAGTACAGTATGACTCTAACATTTTGAGCTGCCGGCCTCACCTCCGACCACCGGGCCGTAGTTGATGAATATCAATTACTTTTACTTTTTGATTTTACGGTTTAGCGACTTTGCAGTCAATTTAATTGTTTTTATAGGAAAGTTTGAACATACTGAGAGGTAAGCACATATCGTCGGTAAGAGACATGTGTGTGAGAAAATTTGCGAAAAAAATCTAAGGGCACCGGTGGGATTCGAACCCACAATTCCCATTCAGTACACGGGTGCATTGCCAATTATACAACGGTGGACCTATGGTCTACGGATGTATTTGGCTAATGACATTTGAGTTTCGAATCCGTTCCCCACCCTAGCCCTTTTGCGCAAGCGTTCTCTGATACACAACAATCGTCTATTATCGACGATATGTGCTTGTACCGCAACCACTCAGTATCAGTCGATGTGAACAAACACAGCTCATTTTTGTTATTCATCTTACATGCTGAAATATGTCCAGTACAGTATGACTCTAACATTTTGAGCTGCCGGCCTCACCTCCGACCACCGGGCCGTAGTTGATGAATATCAATTACTTTTACTTTTTGATTTTACGGTTTAGCGACTTTGCAGTCAATTTAATTGTTTTTATAGGAAAGTTTGAACATACTGAGAGGTAAGCACATATCGTCGGTAAGAGACATGTGTGTGAGAAAATTTGCGAAAAAAAATCTAAGGGCACCGGTGGGATTCGAACCCACAATTCCCATTCAGTACACGGGTGCATTGCCAACAGGCTGTCAAATCATAACCGAATAGTGTATATGTGTATTGTATTTTCCAAGACTGCAATAATGTCTTTAGTATTGAAATATTTCCAGACAACGCACAGTGTCTATGTGGATCATGCATGATCCACTTTTCGGGTAATCCAGATGTTCAAAATTCTTCAAATCGCCCTGGAGTTCAGTTAGTTTGATCTACTAGATCAACCGAGATTGGGCAATGTCTTTAGTATCGAAATATTTCCAGACAGATGCACAGTGTCTATGTGGATCATGCATGAACTATTGTCTTGTATACCAGATGTTTTAAGTACTCCAAATCTTTCTGAGCCTCATAGCCTAGTCAGTAAAGGAACGGTATTACTAAGCCGGAGGCGGCGGGTTCGATTCCCAGTCCGGTCGAGGGAATCTTTTGGATGGAAATTTTCTCGACTTCCCTGGGCATAGAGTATCATTGTGCTTGCCTTGCCACACAATATACAAATTCATGCATTGGTATTGGCATCGAAAGCTCTCAATTAATAACTTTGGGAGTGTATTTAGAACACTAAGTTGAGAGCACGTAATAAGTTAATATGCACTAATCAATAAGCTTGAAATGCTAATAAGAAGAAATTTTTATGACTCTTGAAAGTCTCGATGGACCTGGTCCTGATGAAATACCTCCATTTTTATTGAAAATAATAGCAACTAGTTTTGTTAAACCATTGTTTTGGCTTAACAATTTATCTCTCAAAACAGGTGATTTTCCAAAAATTTGAAAGAAATCATTTTTAGTCCCAATATTTAAATCTGGCAAACGGTCATACATTAAAAACTATAGAAGTATTGCAATTATGTCATGCATTCCTAAAATGTTTGAAGCAATTGTTAACCAGAAAATATTTAACCAGGTTAAGCATCGCATTTCAAATAATCAACATGGTTTTTTTAAAGGTCGGTCAACGTCTAGCAACGTCAGCA